TCCTGCCTCAGCCTCCTAAGTGGCTGGGATTACAGGCATGCGCCACCATGCCCAGCTGATTTTTTGTATTTTTTTTAGTAGAGACGGGGTTTCACTATGTTGGTCAGGCTGGTCTCAAACTCCTGACCTCAGGTGATCCGCCTGCCTCAGCCTCCCAAAGAGCTGAGATTACAGGTGCACCACCGCGCCCAGCCCACAGTTTGTTTGTTTTAAAGAGATGGTCTTGCTCTGTCATCTAGGCTGGAGTACAGTGGTATGATCATAGCTCACAGTAGCCTCCAACTCCTGAGCTCAAGGGACACTCCCACCTCAGCCTCCCAAGAAGCTAGAATTACAGCCATTAAGTCACTGTGCCTGGCTCTTTTTTTTTTTTTTAAGTTGTAGTTAAAAATACTTGAAACTTACCATCTTAACCACTTTTACATGTACAGTACAGTAGCATTAACTACATGCACATTGTTGTTCAACAGGTTTCTAGAATGTCTGCATCTTACAAAACAAGCTTGCTTTCTACCTCTTAACTGAAGAACTCCCCATTTTCCCCTACTCTAGCCCCTGGGAACCACCATTCTACTTTCTGCTTTCACAAGTCTCAAACAAATAGAATCAGAAAGCATTGTCTTTTAATAAGTGCCTTACTTCATTTAGCATAATGTCCTCTAGGTTCAACCACATTACAGCATATGACAGGATTATTTTATAAATAAGGCTTAGTATTCTATTGTATGTATATACCATATCTTATTTGTCCATTTATCTGTCAAAGGAACTTAAGGTTGCTTCAAATTCATAGTATTTTTATTATAACTTATCAAGATCAACTCAACAGTACCTCACCACAAGAGGTTTATAGCATTTTCAAATGCTATAAACATTAATACTTGTCAAACAGGCTGCTTTCACTTTTGAGAACACAGCACTCTTAGAAAAGGTGGACTCATGCCTGAGAAGAGTGAGTGGGACAAAAAACATTGCTATGGCTGCTCACATCTAGTAAGAGGGATAACCAAGCAGAGCTAGACCAAAAGAGAATTTTAACAGAAAATTCCACAAAAAGTGTTGTCAGACATAAGGCATATGAAAAAGGGAAAACTGAGGTTGCTTATCTTTCACAATACAATTGTTAAATAGAAAAATAATTTTGCTTCATTTAGTAATCAGGAAGAACATTTGCTGTAAAGGGAATGGTCTAGTTCTACTTTTGATGAGCGCTAAGATCATGAGAATAATTCGTAATTTATTATTTTCATTAAAATATTAGTTTATGCCAGGCACAGTGGCTCACGCCTGTAATCCCAGCACTTTGGGAGGCTGAGGTGGGCAGATTACGAGGTCAGGAGTTTGAGACCAGCCTGGCCAACATAGTGAAACAAAAATTAGCCAGGCACGGTAGTTCGCATCTGTAGTCCCAGCTACTTGGGAGGCTGAGGTGGGAGAATTGCTTAAACCCAGAAGGCAGAGGTTGCAGTGACCAAGATTATACTACTGTACACCAGCCTGGTCAACAGAGTAAAGACCCTGCAAGACCCTGTCTCAAAACAAAAACAAAAAAAACCACTGAAAGATAGCTGAGTTCACGGACTGAAGACTTAATACTGTTAAAATGTCCTCACTACCCAAAGCAATCTGCCAAGAAGTGGTGTCTGCTGCTCTCTTGCCTCTCTTTGGTATTTGGCTGCCACTACCTGTGAAGGGACCCTTCCCCGTTTGCAGTACCCAGACCAGGGTGATGTAGTAGTGTTCAGGGACATGGTGAAGGTCATAACAGTGAATTATAACACATATGGGTTTCTGGGCGAAGGTGCCAGGAAATTTGCATTTTCCAACATACCTCAGATTCAATTAAAAAAACCCTTGGATGCAAATCATGATGTTTAAGAACACGATATCATCACCCTTCCTACAATTCTATTTATATTATGAAGAGCAGGTCCTGGTAGATACAGAGATCAAGGTGAGTAAGGAGATCATGGAACACATCAAAAAAACCATTGGGAAGAATAAGGTCATGCTCAAGACCAACAGGAGCAGGAGAAAAAGCAGCTCTCTCACCCAGATCATTTGGCTTTCAAAGTATTTTTTCTGGGACTCTACCGGTAAAGTGAAAGGGCAAATGTCCTACCCGGGCCTAGTGGCATTACCCAAGAAGACAGGGAAGTAGATAGCAACACTGAAAGCCAGTGCCTAAGGTCCAAGGCCATTGTGGGCTACAGTAATTGATATGGGGTTACCCAGGCTACAGATAAGCCCCTAGTTCTGGCCAGGCACACGGGCTCACGCCCATAATCCCAGCATTTTGAAAGGCTGAGGTAGGTGGATCACTTGAGGTCAGGAATTCGGGACCAGCCTGGCCAATATGGTGAAACCCATCTCTACTAAAAATACAAAAATTAGTCAGGCATGGTGGTGGGCACCTGTAATCCCAGCTACTTGGGAGGCTGAGGTGGGAGAATTGCTTGAACCTGGGAGGTGGGCATTGCAGTGAACTGAGATCGTGTCATTGTACTCTGGAAATGTCTTTGGAATAAAAGG